GGTCTTTCAGCAGATGTCTTCCTCAGCCAAGGTCCTGGTGCACTGCGTGGTCGGGGTGAGCCGCTCCGCCACACTGGTCCTGGCCTACCTCATGCTGCGCCAGCAGCTCTCCCTGCGCCAGGCGGTGATCACCGTGAGGGAGCGCCGATGGGTCTTCCCCAACAGAGGTTTCCTCCACCAGCTCTGCCGGCTGGACCAGCAGCTGCGGGGTGCAGGCCGGAGCTGAGGGGCCAGGTGAGGGCTGGGCAGGGCATGAGGGGCGACAGCTGGGTGCAGTGAGAAGTGAAAGGTCAGGAGAGGGCTGGACAGAGGGCAAGGGTACAGCTAGAGTAAGGGGTTGGGGGTGAGGCCTGGCAGGGGACATGAATGAGTGCAGTTCAGAGGTTGGGTGTCAGGGCTGAGCGGGGCTGGAAGAGAGGGTCGAAAGGGGCCTGGCCCATTCCCCAAGCTACTGGGCTGCCCTCACCAATCCTAGGCCTGGCTGAGGCAACTTGATTGTCAGTCCCTCCCCCCACTCCCAGCCCACCTACAGATTCTTAAGAGCCAGAGCAGATGGAAAGGCTGGGAAAGAAAGGGGTGGGAAGCATAAAATGGAAGAGGTGAGGCCTTCCAAACTGGTCCTGGTGCTGACCTACCCTACCTCCTTGGCCAAAAGCCTGTGGGGTTCACCTGAACCCTACCAAGAGAGGAGCACAGTCAGTCCTGTACCTGAGCTGTCTGGCCCTTCCCACACCTCTGCACACCCTCGGCTCAGGTCTGGATCCCAGTCCTTGGTGAAATGTGTGGCTGCAGCTATTGCTCCAAGTTTAGTTAATTATCATGTCAGCCCTGCGCATCCATTCCCACAGTGGAGAAAGGGAACAGGTGCTCCCGCCACTGGCCACAACCTCCTCACACAAGCCCTGCTTGATACAAAGTTCTCCTGTCACCACGTCCTTCAGTTCTTTGCCTTGGACTCAGCACCCCACTCTACCTTCATACCCCAACCAATGTGATCTCATAGATCTACAGAAGGACCCTCTGTAACCTCCCTCCCTCTCTGATTCTGGGGACCCCATAGGACATAAAGCCTTCCTGAAGTCTGTCCATTTACCTTCTGCCTCCTCCTGTTCCATGTTCAGTGCATCTGGAACAAAATCCCTCAGTCCTTAAGCTGCATAAAAGGGACAGATCCCCAGTATCTCCTCTGCCCAAGCCACCTCCCTCCTGCTAGAGGCCCGTGTCCCCAGCTGCCCAGTAGAAGAAGCTTGGCTCCCCCAGCAGCAATGGTGCATCTCAGGCTCCCAGCCCACAAATGGTTGCCAAGGTGCTGCTGTAATTTCTTTGGCATTAGCTCTGTGTTTTCTTCCTGCTCAACTAAGAGGAGGCAGGGGTGTCCCTTCCTGGGGGTGGAGAGGCTGTGGGGGCCCCAGATTGTGAGGCAGCTGCAGAATGCCCCCTGTCCTTCTTCTCCCACCATGCCCATGTTGGGGCTGTCCCTGTCTGGCTCCAACACTCATCTTCCTTATATTCACATCCCCACTGAGGGCCATCTGAGGGAAAGTTAAGCCTCCAGAGATGCTCTCCACTTCCCCTATCCCACCTCCAGCTCCTGCTACCCATACTGTTCCTTCCTTCATCTCTCCTCAATCCTGACTTTGGCTGTGCCCCGCCACCCACTGGCTCAGAAGGGCTGCCAGCTGGCAGCTGGCAGCTGGGACACTGTCCTGGCCTCTTCTGGGAGTTAGGAGAGTAGCAGCTTTCTCCTCCTGCCAGAGCCTCCCTGGGGCATGAACAAATCTCCCCCTGGCCATCACCCATAAGAGCTGCTTTTGTCTCTGAATGCATAACCAGCCTGGCCAAGGGGGAGCACGTGAGCAATATGAACCCTTTCCCATGTGCTGTTAGGAGGATGAGCATCTTGGGGTTGGGAATTAGGGCAAGAAGGAGGTCTCGGTTAGTTTGAGGGTGAATGCCATGAAGGAAAATAAGCATTATAGCTGGGGTTGGGATTAGGCCTAAGGCGAAGCTGGGTGGGAAACTGTTGTGGGGAGTTCTGCAGGTGTGAGAGCCGAGAGGGGGATGGGAAGAGCATCTTTCCATCTTGCTCATTCCTCTAGGCAGGTTTTGGGAACTGGGACAACAGCACATCTCTGATCATGCCCAATCACCCCACTTCCTCAGCCTGGGGCCTTAAATCCTCTGACTTCAGACCTCTGCATCTTTCTTTTCAGGCAGCTGCTTTGGGGGAGTCAGTTGGGCTATGGCCTTGCACAATTCCTGGGGCTACATCCACAAAATAGTCTGTGAAGCTGGGGCCCCAAGAGTTGTGCAGTGAGCAACCTATGTGACTGTACACAGCAGTCCTAAGGCTGAGGACTCAGAGGTGAGGGGGCTTTGGGGAGAGATCATCTCTCTTCATGAGCCTTGGGCCCCAAACTTGCCTCTTTATCTCTCTTGGCACCCATAACCCACTTGATCTTACACAGAGGCTCAAGGCAGAAGCAGGTTTAGCTGGCAGCTCTTGTCTCTGCCCTGGTGAGTCCCGGCCAATCTGAGCCTCGGTTTACCTGCCTGTAACATGGAGTTCATTTCTCCCCCAGAGCTGGGCCTTACTGCCTGCTATGGGGCTCTGCCACTTTGCCCTGGCCCTGCTGGTGCTGCTGAAGGTTGTGGCCCAGGTGGATACCCAGAAGATGGTAAGAGCCCAGTGCGGGGCCCGCCCTAGAGCCTGCAAGTCCATCCACTTCCTCCTGCTGCCTGCACTCCCTCTCGGCCACGGCCTCCAGTTCTCACAGGTGGGAAGGGGCTGCCCTCTCTGCCAGGCCCTGAGGACTCCTCTCCCAGGGTTTTAAGTTCCCCAGGAGCGGGGGGACATGGGAGTGGGAGAGGCAGTTCTAAGTGTCCCTTAGTTCTAAGTGTGGCCTGTGGCCACAGCTGCCTCCATCAGGGCTCAGGGAGCTGCAGTAAGGGCTGAGCCCAGCTTGCTGGAGCTCGGGCTTCAGAGACCCAGAGGAGGCGTGGCTGCAGGGAATTAATCACCTGTGTGGCAGTCATCTGGGGGTGTGAGTGGAGAAGAGTACTGAAGCATGGGTATATGAGGAGGGTCTCTGAAGGGTGGGGAGTATTCTTAATAGACCCAAATCCAAGGTCTCTTAACTGAGCCGTCAGCTTTGGAAGGGACTTTAAAGGAATGGTGGGGTCTGCTCCAGGAATGTCTTCTGGGGGAGAGAGGAGCTTCACAGAGAACAGGGTGGCTTCCAGATGCATGGTTTCTGACTGTAGGCCGGGGCTGTTCCAAAGACCTGCTCTGAACTCCACTTTTACCTCTTCTGTCTTTCTACCCACATTTCCTTCAGCCTGATCTTCTGGATCTTAATCCTGGGCCAGTCCTATAATCTTTGGCCCCCAGCTAGGGTCCCTTGGGCCTGGGTTCTGATGTCCGCAGTGCTGCCAGCTGGGGTGTGATTTGGTTGTTCTCTTCCCCACTCTCCCCCATGGAGACACCTTCTCGCTTTAACTTTCTGCCCATACTCCATGTGCTCCCCATGAAGACCAACAGGCCTTCCCAAATGGCTTATTCCGTCTCCATTCTTCCTGCCCCACAACCCACATCCACATCCCCACACGCCACAGGCAGACCCCCTTGCTGGACTGCCTCTACGCCCAGCGGGGCCAGGTGCCTGGCTGGGCTTGGCACTGTCCGTGCCGGGGACCCGTGGGTGAGTTGGGAGTGGCAGGGGGAGGCCAGAGGAGGGGAGCAGCGCATCATGCTTTATAATTAAACTCCAATCAAAAAATAGAAACAGCATCAAGTGTGCAGAGACAGGCGTCTGGAAGCTGGGAGCAAAAAGTGCCTGTCAGAGAAGACCACAGCCTGGGCCAAATACCCCCACAGGTGGGTGAGTGCCCCCACTCTGGGGGCTGCAGAGCATGCTGGGTAAAGAGGGCCAGGACACCTGTGCCTGTGTGTGCCGGGGTGGGGGAGGCGGCTGCACCGCATCAGCGGNTCAGAGAAGACCACAGCCTGGGCCAAATACCCCCACAGGTGGGTGAGTGCCCCCACTCTGGGGGCTGCAGAGCATGCTGGGTAAAGAGGGCCAGGACACCTGTGCCTGTGTGTGCCGGGGTGGGGGAGGCGGCTGCACCGCATCAGCGGAGAGACTGGGCCGGAGATAGAGGCACAGATGAAGCCTCGTAATCAGATCAACCTGGGCTTGAATCCTGGCTCCTGTGCTTATTGGCTGTGTGACCTTGGGCATAGAGCTTAATCTTTCTGAGCCTTAGTTTCCTCATCTGTAAAAATGGCGATGGTAAATGTAATCGGCCTCATAAGGGTGCTGTGAGAATTCAGTGAGAAAAATGTAAGCCTTTAGCTCTGTCTGATACAAAGCATATCCTGAGTTAGTGGTAAATATAATAACCATTACTGGACAGAGAAAGAAAAATTAAGGAACACAAAGAGACAAGAGACCAAGCCTCACTGCCCCATGGGATATGACTGAGGCTTCAGAGGGTAAGAGTGATGATAATACGAGCAAGATGCACCATTTACTGGACATCTACCAGGAGGCAGGCACTGGGGGAGGTGCCTCAAACACTTCCTTGTCTCATGGCATTCTCACAGCAGCTCCACTAAGAAAACTGGCTCAGAGAAGACCACACAGATCCCAGCTCCAGACCTGAGAACCTGGCCCAAGTCTGCCCTCCTCCAAGGCCAGCACGCAGAGTACAGGGTCACAGGCAGCTCACCACTGGCTGCCCGCCTGCCACCCTCCCCAAGGCTTCCTTCGCCAGACTCTTCACTTGTCCTGCCCTGAGCTCTCTGGCCTCACCTCTCCTGTGGCCCCATGTGGTCTGCCTGGAGGAGGAGGAGAGAGTGAGCAGGAGGGAAGACCAGGAGGGGGTGGACGGCAGACGGCTGCTCCCCTGTCCTGTGCAGGCCTGAGCCTTGGTCTGAGGCTGCGGCATGTGGGGTGGTGTGCTGGGAGGCTGTGGGGCCTGTGAGGGGGGTGGGGACAGAGGCACCGGCAATAGCAACGTAGAGGGGACGAGAGGCACAAAGGCAGAAGACAGGCGTCTGAACTTGTAAACAGCAGCAGCTCAAGAGCAGGAAGAGCACTGCCCACAGAGGCAGCTGCTCCGCTTAGGGGGAGGCAGAGGAAGGAGGCAGAAGCGGCACCAAAGGGAGTGGGGTGAAGAGCCAGGCAGAGCCGATCCCTGCTGGACGTTGGGCCCATGTCTACAGCCACGTCACCCTGAACGCGCCCGATCCTGTCTGGACATCGGGCCCTCCTTTCACCCTGCTGTGGCCGAGAAGATGCAGGAGGAGGGGTCAGGCAGGACTCTCACTCTAGATCTGGGGATGGCAGAAAACGGGGGCTGCTGCAGCCACCGACTTCCCTTCTGTGGGTGTGCCCAGAGCTCTAAGGATGAGTCGCTGGGTGGGGGCTGGACCCTCGCAGGATAGAGCACACACGTAGAGGGTATATCCGTGAGCATCGGGTGTGAAGTCCAAGGTGAGGCCTAACAACACGTACCCCTAAGTTCAAGGAAAAGGCCCCCTTCTCCAGACCTGGGCCTAGGCCCTGAGGAGGCTGAGGCTGGGCTGTGGCCTAGCAGCTCCCATCCTCGACCCCTCTGCTGGCTCCTCCATCTCCCAGGAGCCTCCAGGAGGAGCAGGGACAAGTTCTGTCTCAGCCGGAGTTTGCCGGTCCCGCACGGCTGAGCTGCAAGACACCCACTGGACACTGGGTGGCGGCCTTACCCCACACCAAGCTCAGAGGCCTGCAGCTGCGCCCGCAAGGCTTCCCAAAGCCCCATCTCACCCCACCTGGGACTCCTGCAGCCCCAGCTGGTAGCTCCAGACCCCTGTGGCTGTTGACCTCTCCCCACTCCAACAATATACACTTCGCTCTACCCCGTACTTTCTGCAAACCCAGCCACTCCTCTCTCAGATCAGACCTTCCAGAGACTCCTTAAAGCAGGCAAGGCCAGTATCTTTAAGATGAGGAAAAGAAATTATGGCCTAGACAGGAGCTAAGCCTTGAGGTGTGGTTAAGCTCTCTGCGCTCTTTCTAAAGTTCTTTTCCCACCACTTCACGTAGCCTCCCATCTCCCTGGGGAGTTCCAGGGCCAAGAGCCCTTAATCCCAAAGAGACACCAAGCGGGGAGGGGCCCGGAGGTGTGGAAGGACAGCACCTCAGTCCACAGTGGCCTGGGTCTGCTCTCAGGCCCCACCCCCACCGGTTCCAAGGGGAGGACCTGGAATTCTAGCCGCTTCACAGCATTTGTGTTCCAGGCGGAACCTGCCCCGGTCCCGTTCTGCTTATGTGCTGGGTCCTGCCCCTGCATCCACTCCCCCACTCCTGGCCCCAGACCATGCCATAGGTAGGTGGCAGGCCACTCAGCCTGCCCTGAGAGCTCACAGTGGGGGATGAAACGGAAAGCCGGGTCTTCGCTTCCGCCCTGCCCTCCCACTGCCCGCTGGGTGAGCCTGGCCAAGCCAGTGGCCTCCTGGGTGCCCATTTCTCTTCCTGGTCTTGGCACTGCCTACCACAGAGCAAAGAAGTTCTTCCCAGTTTGTACCTTCCCTAGTTACTGGTTGAAGGGGCCAGGGCCGGTTAGCCGAGAGAGGCACTCCTTCCCAGCCCAGCACCAGACCCAGGTTCTGCTGCCACTGACACCCCAGCCCTGCAGGGTCTCGGACTCCCTCAGCCAGCTGACTCCTGACACGAGCCACCCCACCGCGGTGAGGCCTGACCTGCAGCACTGGCCTGAGTCACAGGGGTAAGGAGGGAAATCCCAGGGCCTACAGGCAGACACGGAACAGCTACGGCAGGCTCCCCTGTAGAGAAGGAGGGGTTAGCAACTACTCTGGAGACCTCAAAAAGGCTAGGGGATGGAACTGAAGGCGCTCAGAATGGGACTGAAACCCTAGCCTCGCTCCTCAGTGACCATTCAGCTTTGAGCATCACTTAACAGATTATTCTCTCTGACCTTCAGCTGCCTCCTGTGTAAAATAGGGACCTTCCATGAATGAGGCCCCAACGCCTAAGAGGCATCAGCGCATTCAGCAGGGAAGTGCCAACAAGGATCAGTTCATAGTCCAGGCTCCTCACTCCAGAGATGGGCTCTGACCTTCAAGCACCTGAAAGTGGGAAGGGATGGGAGCCTGAGGACCAGCCCTAGAAGCAGCAGAGAAATGGGGCTTGAGATGAGCTGCCTGGGTGTGGGGGTCTAAGTGCCTTCTGTGGGCCACAGCCATCTGGAGTTCTCATCCTTAGAAACTCCCAAGTAACCGGAGACATAAGGGGTGGGGTCTGCACTGGACTAGTTGCTACAAACAGGGAGCTTTGAGGGCCCCTTGGACAAAGTTTCCAACACCACGGGCCTCTGGAGAGGGTAGGGGAGAAGGCTTCCTGGCTCCACAGTGGTGACAAGGGGTTGGCTCCCTGGTTTCCTGTGGAAAGGGTCTAGGCCTCAGCCCCAGTCGAGCCAAGTAATAACTTCATCTGAAATAACTGAGGCCCTTCTGAAGCATCCCAGTGGCACCTGGGTACTGCACCATGGCTGGGCCTCCATGTCAGTTGGACCCACCCGTGGGGAGCTTGCCACTTCCACTGCAGTGTCCACTCTGTTCCAGGATGGACTCGTTGCAGAAGCAGGACCTCCGGAGGCCCAAGATCCATGGGTCAGTCCGGGTGTCCCCCTACCAGCCACCCACGCTGGCCTCGCTGCAGCGCTTACTGTGGGTCCGTCGGGCTGCCGTGTTGAACCACATCAACGAAGTCTGGCCCAACCTCTTCCTGGGAGATGCGTAAGATCCACAGTGGGGGGTTGGGGGAGCAGAAGGGGACCCTCTCCCGGAGCCTGTAAGGAGCAGAGTTGGCACCCTCTTTGCCTCCGAGCATCTCTTTTCACATATTTATTTCCTTTTACACTGTTACTACTTTGCGGAACTAGAACATATCCAAGAAAGTGCACAAAGTCTGTTTCACCCCCCAGGTCAAGAAATAAGACATTACTTGTGCCCTGGAAGCCTCCACTGAACCCTTCTCAGTATAACCTTTTCCCCTATAGATAACCACTGAGTACTGAAATAGTTATTTCCTTGCTTTTCTTTAGTTTCACCACTTGTGTTAGTTTTGCCTATCCTTTAAAGTGATAGGAATAGAGTCATGTTGTGTATTTTGTACCTGGCATCACTTGCTCAAAATTGGGAGATGCCTGCAATATATGTAGCATACAATTCATTGCTATATATTATTCATTTGCATGTAAACATCACAGTTTATCCATTCCCTTTGAATTGTTTCCACTTTGGGGCTATTATAAACAGAAATTCTAACAGCATTCTAGTACATGTACCCTGGGAACCACACGTTTCTCTAGGATATATATATATAGAGAGAGTGTGCAATGTGAGTCATTTTCCCTAAAAGTTGTCTTAGAATTTAGAACATATGGATGAATATATGTGGCTGTTATAAGTTTTCCTTAATATTTAGAAAATACAGATCAATATCTTATTAACATATGGCCAAATATGTATCTCCCCTACACGCACAGATAACCAGTGGTAAAATCCTTGTTGACTTTAAAAAAAAAATGCATACACACATACATACATAAATGTTTTTTCACAGTTCTTTTTTTTAACAAAAATAGTAATCACTTTATAATCTCATTTTGTAATCTGCTTTATATAGGAAAGTTTTTAAATGGAACTGCATGCACAACATACTTTAAAAGCACTTTTAAATGACATTCTGTTTTGTTATCCTGTACTTTTCATAGGTTCTCAGCATAGTACCAACACCTTTTCTTGTTCACCTGCATCTATCCGCCACATGTTAGTGGTGGTGCAGAATTTCATTCAGCTGTATCAACAGTCAATCTCCTCTTATAGGCTATTTAGTGACTCTCCCCATCTCCCACTTTTTCTCTATCTTAAATATCACTGATACAGTTTACATTTGTCTGTGAGCATGTTTGGAATTCTTTAAGTTCCTAGGAGGCTGGGGCAAGTGTACGTTTTTGAGGCTTCTAATGCATGTGGCTGAATTGCCCTCCAGAAAAGTTGGCCCGAGTGAAATGGAGCCCCTTCACCCAGACCAGTTCACTGATTCCAGGCTCTACCCTTGGGAGAGCTCAGCAGAGGAGGCCAAGGGGTGAATTCCGGCGCAGCCGGGGCAGACTCAGTGAGCTCTACCCCACCTCCTCCCATGCCCCTCCAGGTTCGCAGCCCGGGACAAGAACAAGCTGACCCAGCTGGGCATCACGCATGTTGTGAATGTCGCCGCAGGCCAGTTTCAGGTGGACACAGGTGCCAAGTTCTACCGCGGAATGCCCTTGGAGTACTACGGCATCGAGGCTGACGACACCCCCTTCTTTGACCTCAGTGTCTACTTCCTGCCTGTTGCTCGATACATCCGAAGTGCTCTCAGTGTTCCCCAAGGTCAGCTGCTGGGGAAGGAGTGGGGATGCAGAGGGGTGCAGGCGGGATCTGGGCTTATCCACTTTTCCAGTACATGGAAGGTGGGGTCCTTTAGCCACCCTCCCACCCCATTGAGTGAGCAGTCCTTTCAGGGGGGAACCTCACCCTTGAAACTAACGATCATAGATATAACTAAGGCCCAGTGTGGTCATCAGGGTAACCATACCCCTCAGTAAGAGGCCAGGTGTTGGGTGGAAGGTCCAAGACCTAGCAAGGGCTCTCGAGTGAGTTCCTCTAAGACGAGGCCTTGGTGTAGAGCGGCAGGGGCAAGGGAGAGGGCAGGACTGAGGACAGGAAGGTAGGTGGACACCCCCGTAACCTTCAAACCCAGGGGACTCCAGGAGTGCTGACCCTCACCATGCCAAAGTTGCAAAGGAAGCACGTGGACCAGGAGAAGGGCCTCCCAGCTGCTAACCTTAGCCCTGCCACTAGCATGCTTATGTGACCTTGAGCGAGTCCCTTTCCTCTCGGGCCTCAGCTGCGCCACATGACACTGGGGACAGTGTCAGTATCCCAGGATGCTGGGACAGGTGGGCAGAAGCATCTCCGATTCCCTCTGGGGTGGGCGGTGTGAGGACGGGTACCTGATGCTAGGCTGGGTCTCCCCACAGGCCGTGTGCTGGTACACTGTGCCATGGGGGTGAGCCGCTCTGCCACAGTTGTCCTGGCCTTCCTCATGATCTGCGAGAACATGACGCTGGTGGAGGCCATCCAGACAGTGCAGGCCCACCGCAATATCTGCCCCAACTCAGGCTTCCTCCGGCAGCTCCAGGTCCTGGACAACCGACTGGGGCGGGAGACGGGTCGGCTCTGACCTGGTGGGCAGCCAGGAATCCTGACCCTCTGGCCGGCATGGCCCACCTAACCAGCCTGGACCTGGGGGCCTTGTTTCCGGTGACTTTGAGATGTAAATAGCAAGTGGGGGCTTAGCTGAGGCAGAGGCAGGGAGAGCTGGTGGTGACCTTTAGCAGGTGGATTTTCCCTGACCCAATCCAAAGATTCTTTATGCAAAAGAGAGTTCAGTCTGTCTCTATAATAAAAGGTTCCTCATAATAAAGACTTCATCTTCTGGTGAGTTCATCTTCTGGTGGTTTGTGGGGCAGTGGCTCACTCCTAGGATGGTCATGAGGTTCCAGAAGGCTAGACAATCTATGATGGCAGTCTAGAGACAGAGTCTGAGTCCACTGTCTGAATAAAGACCAAAGTTGGAGGCATCACCATCCTTCACATGCCTGCCCTGTATCAAAAACCGACTGTCAAAACATGCTGTGCACAAACATGCTGGTATCTCCTGAATCCAGTCAGTCTTTTCATCTTCATTCTGCATTCAAAAGCACTGACCAAAATCACAGAAACCTAATAGAGGCATTAAACAAGAGGGTAGGAGACACGCCCAAATTCTTGGTGAAGGATGGTTATATGATAGGGCAACATTGGCTTTGAGTTTCTTACTTCTTGTGCCCTAATAAAATAAAACAGTGCAAAAAGCCCCCAAGTTCCTCACCTGTACGTGAGGCATTTGTGAGGATTAGATGGGCTGGCTTTCCTCTCACCTCTCTGCCGGTTCCTATGTGGCCCTTGCCTACTCCAGCGGACGCTTGTTGAATGTCAAGGCCTCTTGAGAGCTCTGGCCTCTGTGTCTTCTCTCCGTGTTCTCACTCCTTGGAGGAGGGGGGAGGTCCTCTTGCTCCCACAGCCTCAGTTCACATCTCTAGGCTGATGACTCTCAGACCCCTATGGCGGCCCAATTTTCTTTTCTGAGCTCAAAAACCTCAGTATGCTACTGGCCACCTTCATTTGAATACTGCCCTTCAGTTATCAAACTGAACTTTTCATCACCTCCCACCCGGACCAATTCCTCTTCCTAGTTCCCATTTTAGTGAAGGGTTCTGACAGGCATTATCACCCAAGCCCGTGGTGGGTGTCACCCTGGACTCCTGCCTTTCTTAAAGTTGGCCTACCAATTCCACCTCCTAAAGTGAGCGCGGATCTGCTCATTTAGCTTCATCTTTGCAGACTACCCAAATTCAAGCCACCTCACCTGGCTTCCTGCTCAGCCCCTGATGGTCTCTCTGCCTCTAGCCCAATCTCTACACAGGCCCCAGACATCTTACTAAAATGAAAATCTGATCATGTCACTCTAACATTTACAGCCCCCCAAAGACAGACAGCTTGACAAAGTATAAAGATTCATTTTCTGAGAACTTCTCATGTCTCCAGACATTTCTCTTCCCATACATGCTGTGTAATTAAGAAATGCTAAATCCACCTGCACTTTCCAGAAATGTTCCACTCTCTTACCTCTTGGTGCTTTATACATGCTTCAGGTTACAGCGCCTGAATGCACATCCTCACACATTTTCACTGGGGTCTCTGAGATGTCTCAGTTTAGATGTCACTTCTGGGGATCCCCCTGGACCCTGCAAGCCTCAGTGAAGTGTTCTTCTTCAAGCTACCAAAATGTCCATCCACCCCTTGTGTATCACCCGTCATCTGAGTTATAAGTGCCTGGTGCTCTGTCATCCTTTTCCAGCTGGTAGTCTCTCTCCAGGCTTTCTCTGGGCTCAAGGACCCCAAGACTCCCACCCTCTCTCCTGTAACCCTACCTTCAGGGAGAGTTCTGTGTTACTGTGCCCTCTCTACAGGGTCCACCAGGGGGAGTGGATCCCCACCTGGTCCCAGGACTGGGCCTGCCTCCACAGGGGACCTCCTCTCCTCCCAGCTCCACCTGCCACAGCATCTCACCATTTGGTCACCCTGACACCCTCTTCCCAGTCCATCTTGTCTCCTTGGGCCACCTCTGACCTCTCTCTTTGCTCCCCTGCCAAGGCTTTCTGGGGACAGCCCTACCCTCTCCTGGGGGCTTAAGGAGTCTATATCCTTCTCTACCATCTGCTCTATTTCCAGAGGGCAAGTCCTTTTCCTTTGTTGCAAATCAAAAAAAGGGTCACCTCTGACCAAACCAGTAGACCTAGTTCCAAGTCACAGTGCTCAACTCAGGGAGCTGAGCACAGGATGTGTTTTAGGACCCACTCACTCCTGCAATTTATAAACTGTATGAACATAAACAGACCTCTCTGGGTCATAGAGATTTAATATCCCCATTTTACAGATGAACAAACTTAGGCTCTGAGAAGCTAAAATGAGGCTGGATGTTGCCTACTGGATCCAGGATCTCTGGGTTCTGGCCATGAAGGACAGGTGCTGCCCAGCAGCTCTCCATTCTCCTCCCTGCAGCACTTGTTCCTAGTCCCAGCTGGCTACCTCAGGTGCTCTCTGGGCCTCTTCCAAAAGGTAAACACATGTCCCAGCAGAAGTCTGTGCCCAGCCAGGCAGGATGGAGAACTCGGCTTTTCCCTTGGGTTAGTGAGGCCTGTAATTCTCCAAAGCAGACAAAGCTAATCCTCACCCCGTAGCCCAGCCTGCCCACCCCCAATTCCCTTGTATCCCCTTGCTCTGCCTGACAGCTCAGCCCCTGTTGCTATTTCCTGCTCATGCATGGTCAGCAGGATCCAAAATAGTGGCTCCAGAAACCAGCCTCTAAATCAACATCCGGGTTTATAACTGTGGGCAGCTGGCCCTTGCTAGCTGGGTGGAGCACCTTGAATCTGGAACAGAGCCCTACCCAGGACCTGGGGCGTTTGTTTCAGCAGGTTACCTTCTTGGGGCTCTAAGGGTTGGACTCAGATTCTGGGGATATGGGGGGAAGAAGGCAGGGAAAGCCAAACATACCCCAGAGCACCCAAGGAAACAGAGGCTGAGCTCCAGACTGCCACCTCCACCAGGAAGCCTTCCTGCCTGCCACACTTGGCCCAGGAAGTCTGCGATGATGCATCTGCTCCTCCTGTTCTATGGAGCAGGCTCATGAAAGAAGTAAGGTATTGTTAAGACCATGAACTTGGACCATGGTTATATAAGAAGTTAACATTAGAGCAAGCTGCGTGAAGGGTAGCTAAGATATGTTTCTGCTATCTTTATAACTTCTGTACATCTAAAATTATTTCAAAATAAAAAGTTTTTACAATTTGTTGACAAGTACTGTTTGCTTTGTATATGCCAGGTACTATGCTGAGTATATCAGATACATTATATATCTTTTGTTTTTTCTGTTTCATCATAATGTTTTATTTCTTTAGGGAAAAAAAAAACAAACAAATTAAATGTGGCTTCCCCTATAGCTCAGTCGGTAAAGAATCTGCCTGCAATGCAGGAGACCTGGGTTTGATCCCTGGGTCGGGAAGATCCCCTGGAGAAAGAAATGGCAACACACTCCAGTATCCTTTCCTGGAAAATCCCATAGGCAGAGGAGCCTGGCGGGCTGCAGTCCACGGGGTAGCAAAGGGTTGGGCACGACGGAGCGATTAACACTTAACTTCACTTTAAATACGACAAAATGTTAAGATTTGACAATACTGAGTTGTGGGAGTTTAGATATCTGTTTTTTCTTTTTTGGGTATTTTCAACTATTTCCTAGTTAAAAAATATAAATTGACTAAAGTTTTAAAATGAGAGACAACCTATTCTCTATATTTAGCTTTTGAAACCCATCAGCAAATGGTTTTAGGAAATATTCTAAATTTAAATGATGTTGTTTTTATTTGCTTTGAAAAAGTGAAAGTCATTCAGTCCATGAAATTCTCTAGGCCACAATATTGGAGTGGGTAGTCTTTCCCTTCTCCAGGGGATCTTCCCAACCCAGGAATCGAACCTAGGTCTCCCACATTGCAGGCAGACTCTTAACCAGCTGAGCTATAAGGAAAGCCCCAAAACACTGGAGTATGTAGCCTATCCCTTCTCTAGCAATCTTCCCGACCCAGGAATCAAACCGGGGTCTCCTGCATAGCAGGCAGATTCTTTACTAACTGAGCTATCAGGGAAGCCCATTATTTGTTTTAGGCCTAAAATATTGAAAATTTATGTTATCCTTTGAAAACCTTCAAGAGGCTGGATTATGGCAAATCTTGCATCAAGAAAAAAGGTAATGATGACCAGTTTATATAGAGTTTAGATGAAATAACTATGATCAAAAGGAAGCTAGGCCAGTCAATCAAACTATACAACTGACTCTTGAGGAGCACAGGTTTAAACTGCATAACTCCACTTATAGACAGGTTGTTTCCAATAGTAAATACTTTAGTACTATACGATACATTGTTGGTTTAATCCACCAATATGAATCGGTGATATAGATCTGGAGGAACCATGGAAACAGAGGAACTTTGTATTAGGAGAGCCAACTATAAGTTATACACATGAATTTTAAATTCTGTGGGAGGGTCTGTGCCCCTAACCCCTTTGTTCTGATCTGCTGTACACTTCATTTAATCCTCACAACCCTATGGGGTAAGTCCAATTATCACCCCATTTTATAGACAAGAACATCAATGCAGAGAGGTTAAGCCAGATAGCAGCTAGCTTTGAGAGCTTATACACCTGAGCATTAAGTGGGCTTGTGGCTCTGACAAACAAAACTTCATTTCTCTCTTAGAACACAAGTTGATGGGTGGAAGCAGGAGCAAGAAGGGAGGATGCAGATCACTTCCCCTCTCGTTCCCAGGGCCAGAACTCAGTCACGTCACACCTAACTGCAGAAGCGGCTGGGAAATGTGGTCTAGCAGGGTGCCCAAGAAGAAAAGAAAACTGCAGATACTGGTGATCACGAGTAGGTGTTCCGAGAGTAGGCACTGATATGAGATATACATAATCAGTTAATTCTCATAAGCCATAGCAGTAGATACTATTTTTAATATTCCCATATTACAGATGTGAAAACTGAGGTCCAAAGAGAGTGTAAGTAAACTTTCTCAAGGTCACTTAGCTAGCAGTGGTAGAACCATACTACAAACTCAGTCAGCAAGCCTATTTTCTTAAACAGTTCGTGAGACTTCATTCTGCGTTGGTCTTTAGTGACTTGCTTGCCAATGGAACTTGGGGCAGAAGTGGTATATTCTGGGACTTCTAAGACTGGCTTGTAAGGTGCCTCACAAACTTCTGCCTGGAGCTCTTGGAACACTCTCTTTGGGAGCCCCAAGCCAGCCCACAAGACATCTGACTCCCCCAAGGCCATGAGGCTGG